TACTACTGCTAAGTTTAACAATATCTGATATTCTTACTCAAAATTCTGTAGAATTAAGCAAATATTTGGTTTTCAATCTTTACTCTGTAGCACAAAGTTTTCCAAATACTGCTTAAGACTATTATATTGGTGAAACAGCTAAGATTTTTGATATTCCATCATATTCCTTAGATTGTTCATCAGCAACTTTTAAATAAGAAATATTAATTGAAACGACGTTAACAAGTTCATCTCTTTAGAATTATGAAGCCTACACAATTGATTACTAAAATCGAAAGATCACAGTTTATTCTACTGACAGATCATTGGATTAGTCTATACTTTCTTTATTAATTAAAGGCTGGTCGCCTACATCATACTAGCTCTGGTCATACACAATGACTTTTAATTTCTACTAGTATGTTTGTGAAAAAGTAACTGTTTAACCGTTAATAATCTCAAATGTTTATTACTACCAACTTCTTGGTGATAACTATATTCTTGCTCAAGTAAACTGGCCATAAACTTATGGAACTGAATGTCCTTACACAGTTTAAATGCAAGTAATTAGAAGCGAAGACAACCTAAGTTACACGACAAATATTATCAAAATTGATATTTCTGCTCCAACTTAATTCAATATTGTTTCAAACTCTTTAACTATGATTGGAACTTTTGTGGTGACTATTAATCTCTTCGTAGACTCAGTAGAATATTTAAATACTGGTACATCAGCTAATAACAGACTTGTGCAGACTACATCTTTTACAGTATTTTCTGTGTTAGAGTGTTAAATCAACTAGGTAACTGGAATAGCTTAGGTAGCTCCAATCTCCCTAAAAGTGGGAACTTCAGAATAAATACAGATACCTGATTGGTTGAATCAATTCAGCTTTTGCAATAATATTTAATATTAAGTAATATCGATACTACCTGAATTCATTACTTTTGATACATCATCAAGGATAATTAAGATATAACCAATAGTTAACACTCATGTAGGGATACATATGATCTAGATAAAAGGGTAAGATACCATATCTTCTAGATTTGATGTAATAGATTACTCTATTGAAGTTTTACCAAGTGATAAATAGAACATCATGAATTACCTCAACATCAAAGATATCAATGTATACGAGGAAGAAATTTACACATTACCAATATTTAAGAGCACTAAACTCGCTTTAGAATTTTTTTAAAGCTACTAATTTGATGCTAATAAAACTCTACAGCTAAAATATATAACTTTGGAAAACTTTAAATTGATATTAGCACCCCAAAAAAATGACTAGGGCTCTTACAAATTAGGTTTTACAGTTTTGGACATTTTAAAATATGGAGTTACAGAAATTGAATTTAAAATTACAGTGCTGCCCTATTAGAACAAAACTAATCTAGGATCTAAAAACAATACAGATGAATAAGGAATATCAAAAGAGGATCAAGCCCAGAATAAGAAATAATCATATCCAATCAGTGCAAGAATTATTTCAATAACCATAAAAGGAGAAATTACAATAAGATTCAACCAGACAATTAATTTAGATCTTAATAGATATAATATAAGCCAGCTGATCTGCTTTTAAATAAGAGATGGATATACTGATTTTGTAGATTATGCAAAACAGAGAGTGGTTAGTTTTTACGCAATTCAATTGCATGGTGTAGATTTGACATTACAATTACAGTTTTTAAGACCGGAGACTATATCATAAAATCTTGTAAGATTAAAACTATATTAAATACTGATAGGCAAGTGATATCTTGGAAATAAAATTCAACAATAGTTAAGCTTTTAAAAATGAATTTACTTAAGCTACTCTTATAGAAAATTTAGTTATTTCTAGACCCCTTCCTCCTTAATTTTTCAATTCAAGTAAGTTTTCATTAGTAATGCATAACCGAACTAAATAGCATCAATGATGATTTTAAATTAAGCATCTTTGACTGGAGCCAATACTATAATGATAAGTATAATAATCAATATAGTTCTGTAGCTAATGTTTAGATTTTCCATGAAAATGCTTTGGAGAATGATGAATATCTT